TTAGGCATTATGCTACAATAGCAGTCTGGAATTACATGGGAAGCATCTCATTGAAGTCTCACAATCCCATGGGAAGTGCCCCATGGGAACCTCTGCCTCCCAGATGAGGAAACAGAGGGAACTTGGCCTCTGCTGATGCCACATGCTGGGGCTAGCCGCCTTACAGGCACCTGACCTGAGACTGTCCTCAAAGCACCTGTGCTCCCTTGACAACCCAGCAGAGTGCCTGGCAGTGTGCTTAGTACATGCTGATTCCCTTCCCTCCACCCGCCTTCCGACTTTATTTTTATTTTAGGATCTTTGGGTAGCTTTTTATTTAAGAAAAAAAAAAAGAAACTTTTTATGTGGATGGCGCAGGACCAGGCAGTGTGCGCATGGGGTCACCATGAGTTGGGAGCCGACTTGACAGGAATTAATAACATCATACCATGCATTCCAAAGGAACAGCATTCTATGTCTATAGCTTGATAGATTTTCACAAACTAAACACACTTGTTTCCCCAGCACCCAGACTAAAAAAAAAAAAAAAAATCAAAACAATCCCAGTCCCCCAGACCCACTCCTGTGCTCCATCTCAGTCTCTACCCCGCCAGGAAAAACACAATCCTCTGACTTCTAACACCAACACTTAGGGCTGCCTGGTCATGGACTTCAGATGACTGGGGCTATGTCGTGGGTAGTCTTTCGTATCTGCTTCTGTGCCGGACATTAGAGCTGGGAGAGTCACCGCGTTGTGTATAGTTATAGAGCCTTTGTTCCCACGGTGCAGTTCACCTCTTCTGCTTTTGGGGGGGGGGGTGCCTTTGGGCTTTCCCTCTTGGGTTCTTCACTGCCTGTCTCCCAGGAGTGTGTCCCTGCACATCTGCTTAGGCCTTTCAGGAGGGAAGCAGGGAAGCGGGGAGAATGTGGGTGCTGTAACCTGGCCCGAGATGAACATGCTTCCAGGAAGCTTCATCTTGGCCCTTTACTCGCAGCCCTCCTTTTTGGATTCCAACAACATTTTGCTTGAGGCTGAGGGGTAAGCTGGCCGGCGTCCTAGGTAAACAGGAGCAGCTGGAGAAGAGAGGGGCTCTTAGGGATGAGGGGCTGAGTTGGGTTAGATCCCCATCCCATCAGGGCTATCAGGGCTTATGTGGAGGGTCTCTGTTCCATAAACCCTGAAACTATAGTGGTGATTTCCAGGTGTAGGCAATAAATTGGAGCCTGCTCCGAGCTGGGGCAGGCCAGGATGCCTGAATTTAACTCCCAGCTCTGCAACTTACCAGCTGTGTGACTTTGGGCAAATTGCTTAACCTTTCTGTTCCTGTTTCCTCATCTATAAAATGAGCAAACAAGCTGACAGTGTTATTTGAGGAATAAATAACTCCATGCATGTAAAGGTTTCTGGCCCACAGTAAATTTTCACTATTATGAGCTAGGAGCCAGCTGTGTACCTCACATGTACCATCTTATTGACCCTGCACATCAGTCATGGAAGTAGATACCGAGTGATTCACATTCAACAGATAAGGAAGTGGGAGCACAGAGAAGTTGAGAAGCTGTCTGAAGCCACACAGCAAATCTGAGGCAGAGCCAGGCTTTGATCTCAGGTCTGTTTGACCCAGAGCCCAGGACCCTGACACCAGGGCTATGAGCTAGGCTTGAATGGGGGCCCAGCAGCCGTGAGCTGCTGCAATGCCAGGCACTGTACTGCAGTGGCCCAGCTACAGCCCTCACATCTGCTTTGGGGAGCAGGACCTCAGGCTCATTTGCTCTGTCTGTAAAATGGGCTTAAGTGACTAGGAAAGTCAGTATCCCTTCTTCTTCCTGGAATTCCCGAGGGAGTGGGCTCCCAGGAGTGGGGCAGATTTGGGAACTGGTCAGAAGAGGCTGCAGGGTCTGCCTAGACCTGCCAGACCAAAGCACTGCTTCTGCTCTTTGGGGGTAGAGGCAGCCAGGCCTAGGAGCCAGATGGCAGTCCCAAGCCCAGCTTTTGGAACCCCCCCTGCTGGAGGTGTGTCCTGACCCTGCTCACATGGTGTTCTTGAACATGGGGCAGGCACACACACAGCTGTTTCTAGTCCAGCTGCCGAAGGTTGTAAAGGAGTTTATACAATGTGAGGAGAACCGAGGTCGAAGCAGTGGATTGAAGTCCAGGAAGGCTTCCCAGAGGAGGCCTCCTTGGATCAGGGCTTTGGAGGTTGACTAAGAGTTCCCTAAATGGAGGTGATGGTGTGATGGAGAGGGAGAAGCATGGGCACCTGTTAATCAGCTTCACCCTACCCTTCCCTAGCCATCTCTGTTCTTCAGGGAAGCCTGAAAGTGATGTTTCCCAGAGTCCCTTGCCAGCTGGTTGTTGGTTAGAGCCTGCCGGTGGAAGAAAGAGAAGGCGGGACGATGGGGGACGCTGGCCTGCTTCTAGATCTGGCCACAGCAGGCTTGTGCAGGCTTTGCACACTCCAGTAGCTCCAATGGTTCCAGCCACACAGTGGCAGCGCCTCCCGCATCTAAGAGGTAAGTACACCTCACAGGCTCCCAGGGGAAGCTGCTGCTGCCCAGTTTCTGGGTAACACCCCTTCTCCTTCAGCTCTTTGGAGTCAATTTGCTACAAGATCTCTCCCTCTGCCTAAAACGGCTGAGCCATCCTTTTCTCCAGTCACTAACTGATAGAATACTGGAGGAGGTGCTGAGGCCAAAACCGCATGTAGTATTCAGGGAACAGAATGATTCAGCACTCAGCAAACGTGATGTCATGTTTTTATTTTGATTTATCTTTTATATTCATGTTACCACATCTTTCAACATGTGTTCCCTTGGGCAGGGGCTGTCCCCCATCACCTCTTCATTCAACAAATAATCATTAGTGCTTCATCGGTGGGAAATTAGATGAAGGACTTGTTTATAGTTAGTCCTTGCACTCACTGTGAAAGGTGTTCAAGTTATTCTGAGTACTAGGGGGTCTGGGAATCCTGAGAAAAGATTGGGGAAGGCTTCATGGAAGAGGTGACATTGGCGTTAAGCATTGTAGGATGAGTAGGAGTTTGCAAGATAGGTAAGGAAGAGGAAGGACACTCCAGGTGCAGGAACTGCACGTGCAAAGGCTGAGGGTTCACAGGGTGTAGCCCAAACCTCGTTCATTTGTGGAAAGGGCCAGAGCTGGAGTCTGATTGCGTAGGGCTTTGAATGCCAGGATTTAAACGTTGAAGCAGGGGCTGGGGTTTAGGAAAGGCTCTTTGGGCAGGATGTAGCTGGTCCAGGTGTCAGTGAGCTCATCTACCCACCCTCCTCAAAAGCTCCTAAAGGATCAGAACGCACCTTGTTTGAATGTGAAAAATAAACTCTTTATTTCTGTGGTAGCTCCTTGTGGCTCTAAAGCACAACTACTGCCTGCTTGAAACCCAAAAGCTTATATGAAACCGTAGAGAAATAGAGCTATACTTATATAGAACATACATACAGCGGCTCATTTTGTTACTCTTTTCGGTGCAAAGCAGAAAGTTCTAGCTGTATCAGCGTGACCTTCCCCAGGTCCCTCCCTTGGACTGTGAAGGCCCCAAGGCCGTGACCTCAGCCCTGGTGTAGAATCTTCCCTCTCCTTCTGGTCTGAGGGATTCCCAATCACTTGGACAGAGCTGGGCAAAAAAGCAGAGATGACAACTCATGGGCTCCCCAAGCTTATCAGGGGCAAGGGCTGGATTTGGGGGTCCTGCAGAAATGGAGTGGCCCAGGGGCTGACCTTGTCGGATAGTGGCCAGTTCCAGCAGCTAAGGCTCTGCTGGTGTGACGTCTAGGCATTGTGGCAGGAAGGCCCGTGGGTAGGAGAGGCAGCCAGAGTTCTTGTTCCCTAGAACTGGCATCTGAAGGATGGCTGTGAAGGGCAGTGGTTGGGAACCAGAATAGAGCTGGGGGCAACATGGTGGTCATGGTCATGGTTTAACTCTCAGGAGCACCGTGGACCTGTCGTCTCAGTCTTTGTGAAACTGGGGAGTGGGGCTCCTGGTTATTTGCAAGGCTGGGCAATGTGAAGGCACCAGAAATGCAGTGGGGAGAGAAGGCCTTGGAGATGACCCCTCTGACAAATGAGGAAACCAAGGCCCGGAGAGGTAAAGGCAGTGGCTCAGGATGGGCCTGGGGCTCAAACTCAGGGCTCTTGTCCTCACCCCTCCAACCTGCTCCCCACCTGCTCACCCCAACTAGGGCCTTTGATCAGATCCCAAAAGGCTGCTGCCCTTCAGGGCTGGCATCATGAACAGAGCACTGGACTTGGAGTCTGAAGGCCTGGCCTCCCTGGTTGACAGTCCTCATGGTTGAGAGTGGGGCACCTCTGCTTTCCGAGCCCCGGTTTCCTCACTGAAAAAGCAGCTCCTACTCTGCAGTTTCCCATGGTGACTAAATGGGTCGTCGGATATGTGAGCACCATTGAGCATGGAAGAGCCTGGCATCTAGCAAACACCTCATAGTAGTGAGATGGGCAGGGGACTCCTGGGCCAGGGCTGCTGAGAAGTGGAAGGGAGCTTGGGCCTGATCTATTCCTGGGCCCCCTCCCCACCACACCCGCCATTGGCTTTCCCAGGGCCCTTGGGACTTGGGGACAGTCTGGGGAAGGGGTACAGGACACACTCTGGGAGTTGAGTTCCTTGATCTAGCCAATGAGCATACGCTACTTTTTTTTCCCCCTCATTTCCAGGGGGTGTGGAGTAGATCAAACAAGATGGTGGGCAGTTAATGGTTTTCCAATGGCATCTGGGCTGGATAGGGAGACATAAGCTTCTCCCCCCACCCCCTTCTCCCAGCCAACCAAAGCCAGGGCTCCCACCTTGGTGACACAGCATTCCACACGGTTAAAGGTGGGAGGGGGGACCAGGCTTTAGGGGGTGAGTCAGGCAGAACATTTCATTTCCAAGAGCCCCACAGAGTAGGCACCTAGGGTCTGGGGCAGAATTTGCTCATTAGCTTGGGATAAAGGTTGAGATCAAGTTGGGGGCTTTCAGCAGGCTCAGAGGGGCTGATACAGGAGCCCCTTAGGAGGGGCCAACAATGATGTTCCGGTAGCCCTTCACTGCCTTGAGCTTGTCGCTCTCGAAGTCCACCACCAGCTTGTGGCGGCCCACGTGGAGTGGGAGCAGGTCCACCCTCACCTTGACTTCCTCCCCTGCCTCCACAGGGTCCGAGCTGTGGGGAAAGATGGAAAGGTGAGGAGAGGGGCCCAGGCTGGCTTCTCCCACCATGGGGGCAGGCCAGGATGGCTCGTGAATACCAAGAACACAGCACAGAGCCTTCATGAACGCACAGCTAATGATGACAATAATAAAATGGGCCCATTCACTGCTTTAGGGGCCTGGACAATGTGCCTTCCCATGTAGAGGGCCTGTTGTGTGTGTCAGTACCCATGTGTGCATGGAGGTGGATGGTGCATTTGGGGGGAGTAAGAATGGGAATACCCAGGCGGTCATAGTTGTACAAATGCACTGACTGTGCACGCAAGACTTGTGGTCTTCAGCGTATGCAATAAAAACTCTGTTTTTATTGCAATAAAAAAGTAAAATATATTAAGTGCATGTGCTTGCATGTATGTATGTAAATATGTATCTGTGAGAATATAACCACATATGCACATGTGTGTACATGCACACATGTAGACATTAGGGCTGTGGGTACCTGTGTTATGTGAGGACCCACAAGCCCAGGGGTGGTGCTTAAAGACTGAATATGTAACTACTGAGGTTTGTGAGACACGTGTATGGGGGCAGCTACTGTGCTGTGGATGTTGAGGATGGGAGGGTGGAAACTGTGCACCATGGGTATGTGAGCGGACAGGGGATATATTAGCGGGTGTGTCTTTGGGAGAAGGAGAGGAGAGGGTTACTGGCCACCCCATTTGCACCTGCCCTCTTCCACCACCAGCACTTACATCTCCACGGTCTTCTGTTCCTCAGTCAGACCGGCGCCTTCCACAGTGAAGGCACAGCCTAGCAAGGCCACAGTGAGCGGGTTCCGCAGGGACACCTCGGCCACCAGCTTGCGGTTCTGCTTGGGCTCTCCGAGGATCTGGAGGAGAGTGTGAGGCAGAGTCAGGGGCAGCAGCTTGGCTGGACCATCTCTGTGTTTTGCCGCAGTTTGGCCCATGTTTGCTGAACAGAGCCGTGCCCAGCACTGCTGCTAGGACCTCTCACCTCTGTGCCTCCATTTCCTCATCTACAAAATGTGGAGGCTGAGAATACCTGCCTAGGTCTCCCTCACGGAGCTGCAGTGAGGCTCCATGTGACCCGGGAGTGAAAAAGTGCCTCCCTTGTTCTAGGGTCTGGAGTGAAAAGATCATAGATTTTTGGACCAGGTTCACCTCTGCCCACTGCTTGCTGTGTGACCCTGGCAAAGCAACTACCCTCTCTGTTGCAGTGTCATAGATTGCTTTTACATAGCCTTTCTCACCACGGTCTTGTAACTTCCACCAAATGACTGGGTGGAACTGTGAAAATGAGGTGCTTGTGTCCCTCCTCCAAAAAAAGAACTGGACAACTTGCTAGTAATGCAAATAAGTACATGGCATCCTTGTAGGGATGAGACCATGCAAATAAGGTGTATGGAACTCTAACGAGGCGATTGGTTAGTTTTGCCTCTAGGGACTGGTCAATGGACCTAGACTTGCTGACCCACGGAGCTAGGCTTATACTGGTGAAGTCAGGTACCTCTGGGCACTTGTTGGTGGAGCTAAAGAGCTTCGTAATACTTGCCTGAGCAGATCAGAGGCCAGGCTACCCCAAGAGGCCTGAGGGCTCAAGGTCTCAGGGCCAGGGAGAGGCCTGCCTATGAACACAGCTGAGAAGCTGCCTTAACCAAAAAACTATCCTGAGTGGTTCCCAATCCTGAACTGTAACCTGTTCCTTCCCTAATAAGCCCCACAATGGTGAGTATTGTCTGTGAGGTCTATGTGGCCACTGCAATGAATTATCAAACCATGCAGAGAAGTAGTGAGTGCTGTGGGAGGGATGGCGGGTGTCACAATTGGTAAAAAGGTTGGAGGTATGTCTGACCTCCCCTTCATAACAATCAGCATTGGGCTGTTGCTCTTGATTCTTCATTCCCCCTTGTGAAGTTAGAGGAGGTCAGATGAGGCTAGGATTTGGGAACCCGAGACACCAAAGATCTTAAGAAGACAGGGATGGAGGTATGTGCTTTTGTGGGGGCTGCTCTCTCTCCAGCTCTGGGCTGTCCTGGCACCCAGCCCCTGCCCCACGGCCTGCCCAGCCCACCCCTTACCCGGATCTTGATTTCTGGATTCTCCAGGTAGATGTCCCTCTCAGCCAGCAGGTAGTTGTTGGCGGCGGGCTCAATGAGGAGGCCCCGCACCTTGATCAGATTGGACTCGGTCAGGCAGTCACAGTACTTCTCATAGAGGATGCGAAGAGGGATGCTTTTCTCTGCAGGAGGGAGAGAGGAGAGGCTTGTGACACTGAATAGTCACCCCCAGCCTCACCTCCCACGCTGCTTGAAGTCACCGCAGTGGATGAATGGCTGGACAGACCCCAGATCTCCCCTCACCTGCCCTGGCCCAAGGGCTTCCACAGAGGCAACGAAGAGGGGAGGCAGGACCAGGAGCCAGTAGGAGGGAGAACTTGAGCTCTGACGGCCCAGGTTCTAATCCTGCCTCTCGCCCTTGCTAGCTGGTGACCCTGGGCAAGTCGTACCACCTTTCAGGATTTCAGCTCATAGGGCTGAGCCATTCTGGAATTCGAGGGTTCATTCCTAGAGTCCCAAATTCTTTTCATTTCATGATGCTTTTCTTTGATGGGGCTAGGATCTGCGGACCCGAGCCACCAAAGGTCTTAAGGATACAGGGATGGTTGTTGTTGTTGTTGTTGTTAAGTGCCGTCGAGTCATTTCCGACTCATAGCGACCCCATGCACAGCAGAACGAAACACTGCCCAATCCTGTGCCAGCCCCACAATCCCTGCTATACTTGAGCCCATCATCGCAGCCACCGTGTCAATCCATCTCCTTGAAGGCCTCCCCCTCTTTCGTCGACCCTCCACCCTACCAAGCATGACATCCTTCTCCAGGGAATGCTCCCTTCTTACAACATGACCAAAATAGGTGAGACGAAGTCTGGCCATTCTTGCTTCCAAGGAGCATTCTGGCTGCACTTCCTCCGGGACAGATCTGTTAGTTCTTTTAGCAGTCCACGGTACTTTCAGCATTCTTCGCCAGCACCACAACTCAAAAGCATCGACTCTTCTTCGGTCTTCCCTATTCATTGTCCAGCTCACAGGGATGGAGGTGTGTGCTTTTGTGGGGGGCTGGTCTCCCTCCAGCAAGTACAGAGTAGAGGGTCCTCACAGGGCTGCAGAGAGCATGAGCCGAGGGGTGACGTGAAAGCACAGGGTACACACTCCACTCTGTGACTGTAAGCTGCTGCGGCACCGTCAGGGGGAGCAGAGCTGAGTTGCTGCTGTGCCAGGCACAGTGCTTGACACATGTCCTCCTAGTTCATCTTCACAACAGTCTTAAGAGGGTTGTGCATTTATCATCACCCAGTTCACAGATGAGGCGATGGAGGCTCAGGTAGGTGAGAGAACATTGCCCCAGGCCAAGCAGCTGGTATAGCTGTGCGGGAATCTGAGCTGCCAACAGACCCAGGGCGCAACGGCATGACCTGCACTCCCCAAAGAGTCCCTGTCATGGACGTGAGCTCACTTCCCCATGAGGTCTGCGGGACTGTGTCCATTTTATAGATGAAGAAACACATGTGCCTGTAAGCACTGAGGTCGGGAGACCTGGCCTCTGCCCCTGCTTGGTCACCGGCTGGACTGTATGAGTCTGGGCAAATGATCTCCCCTCTCTGTTCCCTGAGACATCCAGTACCTGGTGGGCAGAGCTAAGACTGGAGGTCATTTCAAAGCAAAAGGTCATAGGGATGAGGGAGCAAGAAGTCAGCAGGGCCAATCCCTCCTATCACAGAGAAGTGAGGTGTGGTTTTTAGCCCCATTCTTCTGACAAGAACACTAGTGAGAGGCAGGAAAAACAAAATAAACAAAAAAACAAACTCACTGCTGTCGAGTCAGATCCGACTCGTAGCGACCTCTCTTTGGGTTTCTGAGGTGGTATCTCTACAGAAGTAGATTGCTCAACCTTCCTTCCGAGGAGTGGCTGGTGGGTTTGAACTGCCAGCCTTCTGGTTAGCAGTCAAATGCCTTAGGCACAACGCCACCAGAGCTCCCAGTGAGAGGCAGGAAGGAGCAGTAAAAAGAGCGTCCGCAGGCCTAAGCCTGGGTCCTGCTCGTCCACTCACAGAGGACGTGGGGCAAGTCTCTTCCTCTCCTGGGACAGCCCTGCTTTGGGTTCCCTGGCACCCAGCCAACCTCTCATCACCCCTCGAAGCCAGGGGCCCAGCTCCATGACATGGAATGCTGTTGCCTCGTTTTCTGCCTTCTGCCCCCGCCCCCCACTAGACCAGCGTTTCCCAAACTCAGCCACTCACATGTCTCACGCACCTGTGTATATCCTCAGTATTTGCTCATTATTTTTCTTACAATTGATTCAACAAGCTTTTTTTAAAAAAAACTATTTTTTCTTTCTCTTCCTCATTACTTGCAGCAGATCGGTTTCATTTACTATAAACAGAAGGTGGTGGCGGTGGTTAGGTGCCGTCAAGTTGATTTCCGACTGAGAGCGACCTCTTGTGACAGAGTGGAAGTGCTCCACAGGGTTTCCCAGACTGTAATCAGGGGCAGATTGCCAGGTCTTTCTCCCGCAAAGCTGCTGGGCAGGTTTGAACCACCGCCTTTCGTTAGCAGCCGAGCGCTTAACCATTGCGCCACCAGAGCTCCTTCAACAGAAGGTAACCAGTGAAAATAAATACAAGCAAACAGAGCTGTGTTACTCAGTTCTGGCTAGAAACCACAGGCTGCTGAGGATTCTGAGTTTGGGACTTGAATTTACTGTTAAGAGGGAGATTCGCAAGGGCCAGGGATGTTTAAAGACCAATTAGCACCCCTGAGCCTTTCTCCCTGAAGTCATGTGAAGGCTGATTAAGACCCTGGAAGACAGCCACTTTCTTACTGTGTGATCCAAGGGTTAGGACCCCACTGTGCACACTAAGGGTCCGTGTCCCACTCTCCGGAAAATGTCACACTACCCCATCCAGCCCTTTAGCCTCCCCAGCCTTTGATTAGATAGTGTGGGGGAAGAAAACCAAAGTTCTGCCAAAGCAGACAAAAAGGAGTGAAAGTTGAAAGGTCAGGACCTGGGGAAGCAGAGTGGAAACTCTGACCGTCTCCCCAGGAGAGAAGGAAAGCATTGTTCTCCAGCAGCTGTGAGGATGTGACTCCACTGTTGAATTTTCCAGGAGGGTGAGGCCAGGGCAGAGCTGGGCCTTTGAGAGCTGCCATCCACAGGCCATGACCATGGTGTTGGCTTTGGCCCAGACACTGGCTGGGGAAAGGAATTGGGTGCAATCTGTCTTAAACATTCCTTAAATAATTTGCCCTGTTCTAGAAGGTTCTCTGGGGGTGGTCACCAAGGCCATGCTGGCTGCATTTCCAGTGAGTCACCTGAAGAGTTGAAAAAGGAGATGGCGGAGGTGGGGTCAGGAGGAGGAAGGGAGAGAGCAGATGGGCAAGAGCGCAGGGGTAGGGGCACCTGGATTCTGTTCAGCTCTCCTGGCCTGACTTCCCGTCCACCAGCACTTGGAGATCCCCAGATCTTATCACCAAAGAATAACAAGCCACTCGCCAAGACATGAAAGGGTCTATCTCAGGCTGAACTTGGTCCTGGAGGCATCTTAGACGAGCTCCACCTTCCAGCTGCCGGGCAGCACACAGGATCTCTCTGCTCACTCCTCCAGGCTGGGCCCCCTCATGGGGACCTACAGCAGGAAGGACTCACTCTGGGTGGACACATACCTCAGGATAATGAGAGAAACTGACAGGCTTGTCTGAAGCCACCACAGAACAATGCTCCAGGCAGCCAGATGGTATCTGGGAGGCAAAGGGTGAGTCAACAGAGGCCTGGGAAGTTATTCTGGCCTCGCCTCTGGCCTAGGCCTGGAGGTCACCTCTTGCCTCGCATTCCAGGAAAGATGCTTCCTCTTTGGAGCCGTTCTGATCATGAGAAAGAACTGACATGCATTTAGACTAAAGGGCTAGAAGGGCCTTTGAAAAATGGAGCAGTCAGTGCCCAAGTGGGGAGCCTGAGTCCTGGAGGGAAGAAGAGAAATACCCAGGAGCCCACAACGCTGGCTGAATTGCAGGCACTAGAGCATGGGAATTCGGAGCACTCCACACATCTGTAGGCATGGGCCCCTGTCCATGCCCGTCCTGACCCCGGGCCTCAATGCAGAACTGAGGTCTGGGTTCCTTCCAAGCCATCGGAGCTGGCAGGGACTCAGGGATCACTGAGCCCAGGACTGGGCAGCACATCTGTGCCTGTCCTGGCCCCAGAACTGATGCCACTGCCTGGTACAGGAGATGCCGGGAGAAGCCCCTCTCTGTGCTTCTGTTCAGTGTGGACTGAAGGGCCCCACCTCATCCCATTTTGCACTTTGCCCAGATATTTACTGAGCACCTATCATGTGCCATGCTGTGGGCAGGGCCCTCTGTATAATCTCTAATCTTTATAGCCCTCACAGCAGCCCCAGCAGGGGATGAGCCTATTGCCCCTCCTTACCAGATGAGAATAGTTTAAGGCTAAGAGCACATGTTCACCTTCCCCAAGGTTCAAACCTGACCTAGCTTCAGAATCCATACTTTCAACAACGTAAGTGTTGGACTCCATCCCTGGTGCCAAGTGGCTTTGCCCACTTAGAACTTGGCTCCTGCTTAGTGCCCTGCCTGGGCCTGATGATAGGTCACCCTGGGGTGCAACCCCAGGTAGAAAACCCAGGAGGTAGCGACTGTCAATACTGCAGTTGGTCACAAAAAGAGCTTTCTTAGGAAATCACACTCGAAGGCCATGCCCCATGAACCACAGGTCAAGTCGGAGGAAGGAAATCGTTACTGGTTTGACAGGCAAGAGCTGGGAGAAAAGGAGAACCACGCAGATTCCTTAAGCACAGAACACGTCCCCACCCTGGGCTGTGCCCCAACTCTAGATATGACCATACGCTCTGTGTGCTGAGCACTGACTGCAAGCACAACCTCTCACCCTATGTGCAATCCTGCATTGCAGGATTGTGACCGTCCCCCCCACCACATGCCTGACGGGAACACAGGTTCAGGGATCAGCCGTTTGCCCAGGTCACACAACACGCTGGACTCGCCCTGAGCCCCTTAGTCATGATGCCTCTCAGAGTACCATCAGTGTCCTTCTCTACAGCTCCCATGTCCTTTCCCAGCTCCAGGACTCCTCTGCCCTCTTCATACCTGCAGGGCTCCAAGGCGAAGAAAATGGGATTGAGGTGCTGGGGGGCAGGAGACCTGGGTTCAAGTGTTGGCTCTGTACTGCTTCATTACATGACCATGGGCAGCCAAGACCCCTTTCAGGTACTCACATTTATTTTTAAAAGATAATCAGGCAAGGTGACCAAGCCAGGCAGTAAAAGGGACCAAGGAGACCCCCAGGCACCTCACTGCCCCAACCTAGCCTTTCTCGGCTGGGGTTCCTACAGAGAATTAAGCTTGAATGCCCTCAGGATCTATTGTTTAAGTTACTATTTGTCAACTGCTTAGAACATGGCCTCGCCCAGAATGAACACTATGTAAATGTCCCCATGGTAAATTACACATGCTAAGTGCTCAGGGTGGTCACCAAATGCCCCTAGGAACACAGAGTCTTACCAGAGAAGGGCTCTAGGTCAAGATAGAGCAGGTCCTTGGTGCCGCACTCGGGCCCCAGGATCCCGTTGTAGCTGACAGTGCGGGCACAGAGCATGAGGCGGCAGGCACGGTTCTCGGAGGTGGTGTTGTTGATGTGGGCAAAGACGTCAAAGTCGCTGCCCATGTTCATGCCTTGGCCCGCGCGGATCCGCATGGCCACCCCCGTCTCCTCCTTCTCTGCCAGCTTGTTCAGGTGGTTGGCCCTTGTGAAGGCTTCCCTCTCCTCTGGGGACCCTGTGGTGACAGAGAAGAAAGCCCCATCATGACTGGAATAGGGGTCAACGGGAAGGAGGAAGGACACAGCAAGCTAGCTTCTCTGATTCCTGGTGTCTCAGAGCAGCCCTGAAGGAGTCCCTTCTCTCTACATTTCTGTGCCAGGAGGAGGACAGAGTATTTTATTCACTGCAAGGGAACTCCTATACATACTTCAAGACCCAGTCTAAAATATCCCCTCCAGGAAGATTGACCACTCCTCCCCCAGGATGAATGAGTCACAACTTCTTCTGGGTTTACACATCTGCTTATTGCCTGTCATGATTTTTTAGCTCACCTGGTAGCTTTCTATTTCTGTGTTTACTCTCTTGGGTGGCTTGATAGCTTATCTTTATACACAGTACTCTAACAGTGCTTGGGACATAAATCCACTGCCATCAAGTAGATTCTGGCTCTGGTAGCATAGTGGCTAAAGCACTTGACTGCTAACCAGAAGGCTGGCGGTTCAAACCCACCAGCCACTCCTCGGAAGGAAGGTTGGGCAATCCTACTTCCGTAGTGATACTGCCTCGGAAACCCAAGGAGGGGTCGCTATGAGTTGGGGCCGACTCGACGGCACATAACAACAACAACAACTGTAGGCGCTCTGGTAGCGTAGTGCCTAAGGCATTTGACTGCTAACCAGAAGGCTGGTGGTTCAAACCCACCAGCCACTCCTCAGAAGGAAGACTGGGCAATCTACTTCCATAGAGACATTCCCTCGGAAACCCAAGGAAGGGTCACTATGAGTTGAATCGACTCAGAGGCAGTGAGTTTGTTTATGGATTTCTATGCGCCCCACAGTGCTTGGCACACAGTAGATGCTTAGAAAATACCTATCATATTGAACTGGCTGTTGGACTAAAACCAAAGTCAATTTTTAAATAATAAACCAAGCCTCTTTTCCCCTAATTTAATATTAATAGCAGGAAGATGCCTCCTCTTTGTTTCTGATTTAACCTATCATATTAAGTTTCTCTTAGTCTATTTAACCCTTCCCCAATCTACCTGCATGCTCACCCACCTCCCCCCCAGCTCTATGTGAAATACTACACAAATAAACACTGCAAAGTTCCAGGAACTTCTGTGTGGCCTCTCTGCACTTTCAAGCCTCTCTAGGATAGTACGTGGCAAAAAAAGAAAAAGAATAAAAAGCACAGCATTGCCCATCTATAGTTGTATCCCACTACTGAAAACAAATACTGTGTTAATTATGAACATAATAAACAGTATGAACATTGTTGATTCTTTTTTCAGATGCATGCCTCTCCCATACTATAGTTACTCCCTCCAGTTTTATTAAGAGTTCAACTGATCAAAAAGCCAAGCTTCAAAACAGAGTTTAATCCTTTTGTGGAATCTAGAATTCTTTTCCTAAGTGAATAATCCTCGGTCACCATTCATTAATGTGTCTGCTAAGTTTGTACTTGTTATAAAGGATTTTTAACAAAAGAGTGTAACCTAAGGCCATTGTTGCTATGCAGGCTGCCTAACAGGCATGCACAGGCCACGAGGCTGGTAAAGTGTGATGCTTATCTGCGAGGCAGCTTTAAGGGCTCTGAGAGGGCAGGTGCCTACCCTCTGGGTACTTGTAGGTGTGAGTGATGTCCTCTCGATCATCGCGGCCGACACTCTTTGTGCTGATTTTCAGCCCCACGACCAAGGAGTGGTTGACCGACTTGTGCATAGACCCGTCGTCCTGCCGGATCCAGTCCACCACATCAGCGTTGACCTCAGCAAAGACGAAAGGTGCATCGTACTTGGTCGTTAGGTCGCCTTCCTTGATGGCACGAACTGGAACTGGGCCACAGCAGTATGTCCCTGGGTGTGGGTAAAAAGAGGGGAGATGGGCTTGGGCTAAGAGGAGGGTACTATACTACTCTCCAGGACCCTCCACAAGTCAAGCACATGTAACAAAAAGTCTTGAGACCATGCAGCTCTTTGAACCAGTGACTCCATTTCAAGGGGGGCAGGATAGGGTAAAAATTAAGAACAGGGACTCTTGAGCACAACTCTTAGGGTTCAAATGCCAGCTCAGCCATGTTTTAGCTGTGTGACCTTGGAGAAGTTACTTAACTTTTCTGAGCCTCTGTTTCATGTGGGGGTCATATTTGTACTTACCTAATGATAATGCACGAGTTACATATGGAGATCTCTCAGCACATACTAAACGCTATGTCAAGTGTTTGATAAATGAAATAGAAACTGACCCCAAGGCATCCTAAGGAAATGATGGTGTCAAGCAGTAGACAGTATGTTAGGAGGGAGTACACTTGCCTTGTTTACTATTCACATGGAAACTGAAGTCAGTGCCCAACACGTGGCTGGCCTCAGGGGGTGTGTGTTGACTGAACGAACATGAGTGCTGGATGTTTATCTCAGTATGGTTTATAAACACTCCAAACTGGCCACAACCTTAAATGTTGAAGACCAGAGGCTGGCTAGCTATGTTATAGTACATTCATTTGAAGATGGAACATGGTAACGTTAAATTAAAATTCAAATCACAGAAAACTGTCTGATGAAGAAATGTTAATGATACATTGCGAACTGAAAGAGCAGGATGAAAGAATCAATGCAGCAGGAATTCTTCACCCAGGCCTCACGGACCCCCTCGGCACTGGAAATAGAATTCAAGGGTCCCTGAACTTGAATGGGAAAAAAAATTACATCTTTATCTTCACTGTCTTTGATAGCATTTCCTTCCAGTACAAATACGGGCAACAAACCTTAGGAGCCTTACCAGCATCTGTGACTTCTCACCTACAGAAGCTACAGATATGACCCTATCACTTTACAGTTGTCACAGATAACTGGCAGTCCCACTCATGAGTAAACTCATATCTGCCAGTAACTTACAGAACTTATGAATGCTACCACTGGATCTTGTTCTATAAAGAAGCACAAATATTATATCACAAACTTTTAAAAACCGTTGATGAATATACTTTAATGTAATTGACTTTCTTTGTAACCCTACATATTATATGTTTTGTATTTTAATATATTATTCTGAGAAAGGGTCAATATGCTTCACCAAATTTTGCCAAAGCTATCCTTGGCTCACTCCTTCTTTTTTTCTCTCTCTAATATACTCCAAAACCAAACTCAACTGCCATCGAGTCGGATCCAGCTCATAGTAACCCCTCCTTGGGTTTCTGAGGCAGTATCACTACGGAAGTAGATTGCCTAGTCGTCCTTCCGAGGAGTGGCTGGTAGGTTTGAACCGCCAGCCTTCTGGTTAGCAGTCAAGTGCCTCAGGCACTACACTACCAGAGCTCCCAATATATATACGTATATATATGATATGTAACACATACATGTAACACACACTAATAATATGTATAATACACACATAAGTAATACACGCTACATAAACCAGTTTCCATTAGTCAACTCCAATTCATGGCATCCATGTGTGTCAGGATAGAACTGTGTCCCACAGGTTTTTATTGGCTGATTTTTCTAAAGTAGATCACCAGGCCTTTCTTCCTAGATGCCTAGGAATGGACTCGAACCTCCAACCTCTCAGTTAGCAACTGAGTGTCTCAACCACTCCAGGCACACACACATACATGTACATACACAAACAAATACATAATTGAAAATTACTGGAAGCCATCTGTGAATGTTAGCAATGCTTGTTTTTTGGGGACAGGGCAAAGATGCTATTTGCTTTTTTTCATTTGTGATTCTTCATATTTTCCATGATGCATGTGAATTACTTTTCAAATTATAAAAGAAGCATATTATGAAAATAGAAGCGGGAAAATGTAAGTGATAAATCAGTGGTCTTTGGTGTCAAAGAGATCTGGGTTAGAATCCAGAATGGGAAGAGAGGGGAGGGAACACCGCTAGATACGTAAAGACATGTACTGACTTGGGTGAAGAGAAAGGCAATATAAATTAAAAAAAAAAAAGAATCCTAGCTCTGCCACTCTTGAGCCAAGGGGCTCAGGGTGAGTTACTTCAACGCTCTGAGCCTCAGTTTCTTCATCTTGTTAATGGGTTCACTCCTACCCACCTTCACTCTTTTCCTGAGGTGTGGGGTCAAGGGCCTGCCACCCCTCATATCCTGGCTGCAGGTCCGGCCTGGTCATCCATGACTCCACCCAACAGTGGAAGTTCCTATTGGGGAAACAAAGCAGAACTTTGGCCAAAACTCAACCTTGAGATGTTCATTGTCACCTCCTGCAGGCTGACCACCAGCCCAGCCCTCTTCCCTGGCTCCTCCCCAAGCCACTCAGGGCTATGTCCTAAACTGAACCGGCACTTCCTCCCACCACTCAGCTCTGCTCTTCCTCCCAATGCTCATCTCAGCAGCAGTGCCTCCACCCAGGTGCTTAGTCCCTAAACCCAAGAGCCATTCTCAAGTCCCCTCCTTCCCCACCTCTGTTTCACCTTTCAGTGGCTCAAGTCTGGTGATTGACCTCCTAATTCCTTGGCTCCACCCCTTCTTTTCCAGCCCACAGGCCTTGCCCTGCTTGAGACCTGGTCTCCCACCCAGCCCCTGCTCCCATCTCTCCCCCCTACACCTTCTGATTCTGAAGCTTCTGGCTTCTGGAATTAAGCCCGGACCCCCCGGCACAGCATTCCAGACTCCCAACTCCTGATGCCTCTCCATGCGTTGCTTGTTTTTGACTTTCTCTTCCTTAGGGCTTTGCCCATGCTGTCCTCTTGCCTAGAGGGCCCTTCCCAAGCTCTGATTCCACTCCTGTCCAACTGCAGCTCATCTTTGAAGGCCCATTCAAGTATGACCTCCTCTAGCACCCCTTCCTGGTTTCCTTTTCATAGGATCCTCCTTTCTGAGCCCTGCCCCCAGCCCGCAGCCCGGGCCCCATCTCACCAGATCATCTCACTCTTGTCACCCTGGACCTCCCCAAATTCGTTGCGGAAGTACTCGATCAGCAGATTGCTGTTCTGGTCGTGGGCTGAGTTATAGTTGGTCACAACACGGGTGGGGATGCCAAGACACCGAAGCACTGGGGTGGGGGTGAGAGACAGAAGGATCAGGGGCATGGGCTGAGGCCCTGGAGGGATCTGCCCCACTCTGGGCCTTGCCATGCTCGTCTGTACCTGAGGGAGCACTGCGTTCAGTGCCCAGACAGTGTATACCATGCCCCCTTGCCTGGACAATGGTACTCAACTCACCAGTCACCCCCTGTGCACTCTGTCCCTCATCATAGCTGCCACTGGGAGACTGCAATGCAAGTCTGACCTTAACACTGCCCTGCAAAACCTTCAGTGGGTCCCCATGGCCTTTGAAGTCAAGGCCAGACCCCTGCTGGTGGCCCTGGTTCCTATAGTGTCTGACCCCTGGCCACACTTTGCACACTTTGCTCCAGGCAATGGCCTCCTCGCTGCTCTTTATGATCCTGCCAACCACAGGGCATTGGCACATGCTGTTCCCTCTCCTTGGAAGGCACCCCATCAGGTCTAGATTGACTCATCATTTGCACTCACAGCACCACAGGTCCTATCACCATTCCCACAGTACGGACATGGTAGGGAGTCTTTACTTAGTCTTCAGAGGACAGCAAGGAGTCTCTCTTATTTTATATCCCCAGAGCCCAGCACAGGCCTGGCACTGAGTATTTTGTCAAATGGCGTGAAGGAGAGAGGAGAGGAAGGAAGGAAGGAGGGAGGGAGGGAGGGAATAATGACCGTGTCTCCCTGAGACGGAGATTTGAGCAAGGGGCAAGCAGGCAGAAGAGGGAACAGGGGTCAGGAGACCTGCCACTCAAGCCCAGCGTTTGCTGCTTCCAGGGTGTGTGAACAGGGCCAAGGTGTTTCATCTCTCTGGGCCTTGTTTCCGCCTCTATCAAACAGGGTCACTGTACCAGGAATTAACGTCATCATGGGCAAGAAGGGCCCTGCATTCATGCCAAAGTGCTGTTTACAGAGGGGCTGTAATAACTGGGAAAGGGGTCGATGTTGCAACTATGGGCAAGGAAAAGGCAGGACCTCGACTGGCTTCTACAGGCCCATCTCAGCTCGGGAAGGAAGCAATGCAGGGGAGAGACAGGCAAACCCCTGGGGCGATGAATCAGGAATGGTGGTGCTGTGTGCTCCTGGTGGATGGAAGTATGGGTATTTTTAAGCCTCATTTTTATTATGTGTTTTTTATATATGTTGTAAAAGTAACAGACTCTTAGGATAGGATAATGAAAGCAAATATCCAAAAGGAGAAGCGAAACAGAAAGAAAGCCCTAGTAAATGTATCCTGTGGGACGTTTGTTTTACTTTCAGTTTTGTTTGTGCTTGAGCCCCTGGGAGGGGGAGGGCCAGGGCTGTGACCTTTGCCATATGCCTGCCCAGGATAAGAGCTGCCCAATGGTCCTGGATTCTGGCCAGGAGTCTCGGCTGTGCTGGGAAGAAGGAGGAATGGCTGTGACCTTCTGGCACCATCTTCTGCCCAGGTCCTATGCCATGAGACTTAGGCAGAAGCCAGAACTGGCCCCCCACACACACACCCTTAATGAAGGCTGGCACCCCAATCCCAGGCCTTGGCCTGCCATGCAGCAGGTCTCATAGCATAGACCAAAGGCTTGGGAGGAGCAAAACACTACTGCTGTCCCAGGGATGGCATGCTGGGAGACCTCATCTTCACAGTCTGAGGCCAAGAGGTGCCCCAGATCCATACAGACCTACTTCCAAACCCAGCTGTGCCACTCACCAGCTGTATGACCTTGGGCAACACTTCCTCTCTCAGAGCCTCTGTTTCCTCCTTTGTAAAAATAGCTAATAATATCAGTCTGTCAGGATGTGGTGATGATTCAGGGAGGTGATGGGTGTGGGCAGAGTGTCTGCCCAACTGTGTGGCCAGTGTCCAGCTCAGAGCGGGCATGAGGAAGTACACGGCAAGTCTGTGGGGCAGTGAATTGTGTCACAGTTCCTGTCACCAGTTCTGTTGAACTGGTGTCGAACTCCTGCCCAGTTCTGTCGACCAGTCATGGGCACTGAGAAAATGCGTGGGGATCCAGCTGAAAATCCCACCTTCCCTCAGAAACCTCCAAACCCAAACCTAACCTGAGCCAGGGACCACTCAGCCACATCTCCTGAGTCCTAAGAGCTACAAATTGGGTCAGACAGTACTGGCTCCATTATACAGGTGAGGAAACTGAGGCTTAAAGACATGAATTTGCTTGCCTGAATCCACCCAGGAGTTAGAGGCAGACCTGGGATTCGAACCCTGACAGTTCAGCTTCAGAGTCCATGGGCTCATCCACCATTTGGCTTCCCACCGAAACATCTCATTTGAGGATCCCTCATTTGACCCAGCTTTCCCTGGCTCCCTTAAACATACCCGGCTGTGGGAACTCTGACACAGGCCTGGCCTCGTGAAGTGTAGTGTCAAAAAAGGAGCAAGACCTGATGCTAAGCCCACAGGCAGTCACAACCCAGGGAAAAAGGCATGTGGGTAAGTCTGGTGACCCAGACTGTCCTCTGTGGGATTTCTCGAAGAAAACTCATGAGGTTCTCTAAGAAGATGTTTCAGGCCTCTCAGAGGGAAGGGGTAGTAGAAGAGGAAGTTTCCACAAACGGGAATTCAGAAGTCACAAAGGAGCAAGCAATTATGGGCAGAGAGGTAGGGGCAGGGACCAGGGACAGCCCCGCTGGGAACCTGGGCCTGGCTGCCCCCACCCATGTAGAAGGCAGTGCTGGGAAGTTCCCAGGGTGCCCTCCGGGCCTGAGGGCAGGTCTGGGAGTCAGAAATGCTAGTGACCATAGATCACCTCTTAGATTTCCTGAGCCCAACACTAATACTAAGGAGCTCTGGTGGCACAGTGCCTAGGCATTTGACTGCTAACCAGAAGGTTGTGGTTCAAACCCACCAGCCACTCTGCAGAAGGAAGACAGGGCAATCTACTTCCATAAAAATTTACTGCCTTGGAAACCCAACAGGGGCCAATATGTGTTGGAATCGACTCAATGGCAGTGGGTCTAAGGCTAATACTAATAGTAATACTAAGCAGTAGTGTTATATAAGTATTTGCTATTATGTGTCTGTCATCATTCTAAATGCTTCACACATCTTTACTCATTTAATCTTCACAACCATCCCAGAACTGAGGCTCAGAGGAGTGAAGTGATTGTTCTCAAAGACACACAGCTGGTAATAAGCAGAGCTGGGATTTGAAACCAAGTCTTGACTACTTTGTCCATATTCTTAACTAGAAAACGCTACTCAGTTCCTGTAAGTGCCATTATCAACACTGGAACAGTTCTCAACAATCTCTGGGCTTCAATTTTCAAGACTACTTTTTTTAAGATCTTTTTTTGTTTTAAATTGTGTTAGGTTTCCCCTCCACATTTTAGAAAATTCTTTCTCTTTCTTGACACTGATAAGATTACTGTTATTATCAAGTAATTAATTAAAAATAATCATAGCCATCAAGTCAGATCCAACTCATAGCTACACCTCCTTGGGTTTCCGAGGTTGTATCTCTACAGAAGTAGATTGCCCAATCTTCCTTCCGAGGAGTGGCTGGTGGGTTTGAACCACTAGCCTTCTGGTTAGCAGGCAAATGCCTTAGGCACTATGCCACCTGTTCACTGGGGGCTACGCTGGGCCAGGTTCTGTACTGAGCAGCTTTATGTCACAGCTACCCTAGGAGTTAGGTCTTCTTGTTGTCCCAATTTTACAGATGAGGAAACTGATGCTCAGAGAGGAGAAGTCATTTGCTTAGGGTCACAGAGCAGGGATTTTTAACTCCAGTCTGCCTGGCTCCAGAGCTCATGTTCTCCATCCTGAACCCACACTGCTTCCTGAATGGAATCCCCTGATCCTAACAGCCACTCGAGGGGTAGTTGTTGAAAACAGGACTAGACAGGGGCAGCTACCAGGCCAGGCCACACAGTGGTGTTGGTAAAAGAGCAGGACTAGAATCAGGTTCTCCTGACTCCCACTCCATCCTCACTGTGCCCCTTCCTAGGCCCCAACGAGGCTGAAGGTAGGTTCGAGGTCCTCCCTGCATCCTGGCATGCCACTCACCTGTGCAGGCCACGGCAGCAAAGACCCAGCACTGGCCATACTTGACGCGCTGGCAGCCGTCACTCTTCCAGCGCCGCAGGATGTCCACACTGCCAATCCAGAACATGGGGCTGATGCCGTCCACGTAGTTGTTGTCCCAGCGTCCCAGCAGCACACCTTGGTCATCGTTGCAGTTGACCTGCAACCAGTGGAGCATTATGGGAAGACTGAGCTTGGGGAAAGGATGACAGCTGAGCTAGACTGAGCATGAGCTCAGCACATGGCAAAAGGCAAGGAAGGGAGTTACAGGATGAGGGAACAGCAGATGCAAAAGTCCAAAGGTGCGACAGATTACAGTATATTGGAGTTTGTTGGGGGCTGGGGCCCAGGATGCGGGAGAGAGAAGGGAGAAGAGAGGAGGTTAAGACAGATCATCCTGGGGTCTTAAAAGCTTACAAGCAGCCATCTAGATGCAACATTGGGTCTCTCCTCATCCAGAGCAAAGAAGAATGAAGAAAACCAAAGATGCATGGAAACAGTCTAAGGGACTGATAGATCATGTGATCCTCAGCCTATATGACTAGGAGACTAGAAGAATGAGATGGTGCCTGGCTACCACTATCAACCATTCGGAGGGGGCTTGGTGCAAGAAAGCCTGGATAGAGTGTGAGACCAATGTAAAATAAAACTCAAAATCATTAAAAAAAAAAAAGAAGAAGAAAGAAAGAGAGACCAGATTTGCTGGTCTGATAGAGCCTGGTGAGGCCCCTGAGCCACTCTTCAGGTCTGGAATTGAACTCACTCCTGTGGCCTCCAGCCAAACAATAGACAGGCCTATGGGCTGAACATTTACATCATGCAGATATACTCCTTGGAGCAATCAATCATGGGAGAACAGAAGGGCAGTATTTGCACAGGGAGATGCTGAGGGCTGGGGCAGGAGTACATGGGAGAGAACACAAGGAAGAGGTAACTAACTACAGGGAGGAAGTGGGAGGGGAGCTGTTACATTGTGGGGAATTGCAGTCAGTGTCCTGAAACAAAATGTGTATAAACTGGTTATGGAAAATGAATTTGCTCTGTAAACTTTCACCCAAACCACGATAAAAATTAAAAGAAAAAAAAAAAGGTCAAAACCGTGAGGAGTTTCAGGGCTAGAGATGCGCATTTGTCCTATGAGCATTGGCCACTGGGAGGGATGTGGTTTGGTCTGAGTTTCATAAAAATCCACTCTGGCCTCTGATCACACTGTGCCATTATCTCCCCTTCTTCCCTTAAAACCTCCAAAACTCTTACTGCCAGAATAAACACCAGCGTCCTGGCTACGGTCCATGGGACCTGCATGGTCTGGCCCCCTGCCCACCTTTGCTGCTTGTCCTACACCCCACTCCCCCAGCTCACTCCCCTCCAGCCACACTGGCTTCCCTTCCATATCCCAAACCTGCCTAAGCCGTTCCCTCCCTGAGCCCTTGTGAAGTTAGGTCTTGTGGACAGATGCTTTTCCACTCTGGGTTCCTTGATCACACACATCATAATTTATGATTATACACTCATGTGATATTTTGGATGTCTGCCTCTACCCACTAGAATGTACGCTCTATGAAGTTAGAGACCGTAAATATCTCATAGCCAGCTGTATAGCTCCAATGCCTGGGACATAAGTGCCATTTGATAAATGTCTGCAGAACAAATGAATGAATTGCTTTGGAGGACTGCATGGCATCACCCTCATCTGTGTGAACCTTATCTTTCTAGATCCAAGCTCTCTTCCCTGAGACTTGCCTATGTCCTGGATCTCCCCTCTATGCCCAGCACAGAACATGGCCTCTGTTGTCACAGGGTCACAAGGAAGGAGGAGTCTAGTGGAGCACATATGAGCCTTGACTCTGGGCTGGGCCCCACACTCACTCACCATGCCGCTCACCACCCGGCCCACATAGACAGGGCTGCGGCGGCGGGAACAGTCACGATTGGCGTTCTTCAGGAACTTGGGGTTGACATCAAGGAGTGTCAGGCAGATGTCCAGGATCCCATCTTCAAACTGTGTCAGAGAAAAGAGGAGGAGAACAAGGGAGGTGAGAAGTCACCTCCTCCAGGAAGTTTGCCTTGGAGCTCCCAGCAGCTGCAGGTCCTCCTTGCTCCATCCCACCCAACAGACTGGAGGATCCAGGCTGAGTCAGTCACAGCTCTGTGATGTTGCAACTTCCAGTCCAGAAGGGAGTGAGGTGAGCAATGACAGGGGAGGCCATGAGTGTGTGAAAAAGCGGGAATGCACCTGTATCCAGGGTCCCGCTGGGAGGCCCTGGGAATTTGAGGTAGTATCCCCAGAGAGGGAAGCCCAGTGTCCCTGGAGCTTCTCTTCCCCTCAGAGTCATCTCAGGACCTGCCACTGCCCCCTACTCCTCTCTGTTTTGCTGAATCTCCCATTTGCCCACAAGCTGACACCCCGCAGAGCCAATGAAAGCCCCCACATACAGCTCTACTTGGAACTAAGGTGAATTATGAAGACAAATTCAATTCCATTACTCTTCTGTTCCCATTGCATTCAGTAAAATGATTCTCACTCTGGCCTGCAAAGTCCTGCACGATTTGCGTCCCACCACCCTCTTTGACCTCACCACTTTCCCCCATGCTCATTCTTTCCCAGGCTCACTGCCTCTGGGTCTTTGCACTTGCCGTTTCCTCTGCCTGGAATGCTCTTCCTGCTACTCCATGCATGGCTCCCATCTGATGGGACCCTCAGGGCTGCAACTCAAATGTCACCTTCTATCAAAAGCAAGACATCCTCCTTGCCACCTTCCATTGCACTGTGCCATTTAATTTCTTATCACCATCTGATATGTTTAGAGGTTTGCTCATCTGCCCCATGCACCCCATCCCAAAGAGCTGGCCCTTGGCTGACCCCTAGCTTTGTGAGAAGTAATACATGTTATTGTTTTAAGCATCTAAGTGGGCCTGTTTGTTATTCAGCAATAGCTGACCCCTACAACTAGCTCAGTGGTTCTCCAAGCAGCAGCATCACCTGGCAACTTGTTAGAAATGCAGGTTCTCAGGACACTCTAGACCTACTGAATCAGAAACTCCAGGAGTGGAGCCCAGCAATCTGTGTTTTAAAACACTCTCCCAGTGATTCCAATATACACTCCAGTTTGAGAAGCACTCACCTAGATCATGGTTTAAACCCCTCTCAACACATGTCTAGCACACAGTGACTGTTCTCCAAGTGCTGCCTGTTGTTTTGTTATATGATCCTTACTGCCCCTCTCCCCATGAATACCTGCCAGCCCTACATCCCCTAAAGGCTCTCCTGATTCTTTACCCATCTTGAATCTGCAGCTCCCACGGTGGGCAAGTCAACCATATGCTGTGTGACCTCAGGCCCAGCCAAGGCCCTCTCTGATCCTCCAGCCATTTCAGGCCCTCACTTCTCTGACAACATGGACTAGTCAACCCTGGGACCCCCCTCATACCTCTGTGGCTCTGGCTGCCTCAGGCTGCCACACAGTAGGGTATGAGACTATTGGGAGGGGCAGCACATGGCCCTACCTGCCCAAAGTTCCAGGGTATGCTCTTGATGAACTTGGCTGAGCCCTGGTAGATGAATCCCTGCTGGGTGAGGATGTATTCCTGCCGCTCCTCCTCTGAGTCCAGGTAAACGTCGTCCGCTGTAGGAGGGAAGGAAGGGGCCTCAGCTCTGGGTCTGACAAGGCTAGTCCAGACATGGAAACCAGAGCACCAGCTCCTCTGGTCTGGCCAGTGTCTTGCAGGCCCTTTTCTCTTATAATCAATAAAACTAATCATTAATTAACAATCCCATGTCAATGACAAAACCAAAATATCAAACTCACTGCTGTTGAGTCAGTTCCGACTCATAGCGACCCCTCCTTGGGCTTCCGAGGTGGTATCTCTATGAAAATGGATTGCCCAGTCTTCCTTCTGAGGAGTGGCTGGTGGGTTTCAACCACCAGCCCTCTGGTTAGCAGTCAAATGCCTTAGGCACTTTTTCATGGCTGATATTTATCAAACACTTGCTATGTGCCGGACCTGGGCTAAGTGACACATGTTATTAACTCATTTGAGCCTTACAAGAGTCCTATGAGAGAGGGACCTTTGTAGGCCCCATTTTACAGGTGGGAAGACTAAGCCTCAAAACTATTTTACAAATGAGAAAACTGGTGCCAAAACAAGAGACTGCATTAGAGGCCAGGAAACCTCTGGCTCTGACCCTCACTTACGGTGTGACCCTGGACAGATCTTTCCTCCCTCTCCACCTACCTTGCTGTGCTGGCCTGATAATACCATGTGACTGCAGATCTGAGAAGTGCTTTGGAAGCTAAAGCATCGAGCCCACACGAGGAAGACCGAAAACCAAACCCACTGCCGCTGAGTTGATTCCGACTCATAGCAACCCTACAGGGCAGAGCAGAACTGCCCCCATAGGGTTTCTTTACAGAAGCAGACTGCCACATTTTTCTTCCACAGAGCGCCTGGGGGATTTGAACCACCAACCTTCCAGTTGGCAAACAAGCACTTAGTAACCAATGCACTCACTATCAGGACTCCTACATGAGAAAGGAATGTTGTAATTAAGGTAGAGAAAGTTCAGTGCAAGAAGACCAAAACCAAGCCAAACTCGCAGCCGTTGAGTCGATTCCGACTCATAGCGACCCCCGCTGGGTTTCTGAAGCAGTACATTTTTATGAAAGTAGATTGTCCCATCTTCCTTCCACAGAGTGGTTGCTGAGTTTAAATCACCATCCTTCTGGTTATCAGTCAAATGCCTTAGGCACTGCTCCACCAGAGCTCCTTCAGAGCAAGAAGGGAAGGCCACATAAAGGATATTGCAGCTCAGGCGAGGTGGGATCCTGTCCAACTTGGGAAAGGTTCAGGGAGGGCTACCTGGAGAAGGGGACATTTGCCTTGGTAAAAGACTATAGTTTGGATACCTATGTTGTTGTTGTTGTTGTTATGTGCCGTCGAGTCAAACCTGACTCATAGCGACCCCTCCTTGGGTTTCCGAGGCAGTATCACTACGGAAGTAGGATTGCCCAACCTTCCTTCCGAGGAGTGGCTGGTGGGTTTGAACCGCCAGCCGTCTGGTTAGCAGGCAAGTGTCTTAGCCACTATGCTACCAGAGCTCCCTTGGATACCTATAGGGGGTGTCATTCTAGGCAGAGAGCAAAAGGATGACACTGGAAAATGCAAGGCACTCGGTTGCCATGGCTACAGTAGGGGGAGGAGAGGGGGCTGAAGAAGTTAGATGGCAGGAGCCCAAACATCAGGCTGACTTTTACCATCCCCACTTCACAGATGAAGAAACTGAGGCCACAAAGGGGAAACTTGGGCCACATTAGGATTTTAGTAAACCCTGGGCACTTATGCTTTCATTTAAAAAAAAAAAAAAAAAGAAAACAATTTTGCAGCTGCATTGTATAAAGACGACTATATTAAAGTGGTTGCCGCTGTTAACTTTGACTCATGGTGACCCTATGTACATTAGTGTGGAACTGTGCTCTGTAGGACTTTCAATGGCTGATTTTTCCAAGTAGATCACCAGGACTTTCTTCCAAGGTACCTCTGGGCAGACTCAAACCTCCAACCTTTAGGTTAGCAGCTGAACCCATTAACCATTACACCTCTCAGGGACTCCAAATACATGAATATGATATATGAAAACATATTCTTTGACGTAAATGTTTATTTTTTTTCTTCTGACTTTAAAAGAAATTAATACTTTTTTGTGGGTCCCTACAAGTATGTGTTTACTGTGCCAACTGCAGAAGCCAGCCCTGGGAAACCCATTCGTTCCTGGCAGGGCTGGACCTGGATTATAGCTGCCCAAGCCCCCGAGGCCCCGAGGCCCTGTGAGTCCTTCTGCAGTGACCAGCACCCCCACTCCTATCACATGGAGGAAAGCAAATGTGAAAGTGGCCAGGCTCCGTGTTCTGGGAAAACACCGCCTTTTATTTGTTCTTTAGCCCCGGAGGCTGTGCCACAAAGAAAAACGAACCTGAAGTTAAGTGAGCGATACGGCTATGAATCAGCCAGTTCATGTGGGAGAAAGAACAGAAAAGAAACAAAAACCATGGTTTCGCCATCCCAGCGATGGTGTCAGCACAAGCCACATGGGATCTAACTGTTCCCACCACGGCCAGGAAGTCAGGGCTGGGACACCATCCCAGTGCAGGTCTCCCTCTGATGAAGGTGAGGGTGTCGGGGACGAGAAGTCCCGCATACAACCGGTGCTCCATTATGTCTATCTTAGAGCTCAGGAGTAGGAGGGTCCTGTCTCATGGCCAGATCCTGCCGTCTCCCACCCATCCGAGCAATTTCCTCCCCCAGCCCCACCCCCCAGCCCCACCCCAGTCCAGCTTCCTGCCTCTGCATCAGCAGTTCCATCTCGCCCTGGGGATGTGGGTCACTCTAGTCACTGTGCTGCTTGGCTGACCGCCACCTCAACCTGTTGGCAGGGAGGTGGGGAGGGGCAGGGCAGAAGGAAGGGGGACATCCCTTAGAACTACACTGTAGGTTCACTGAATTCTGACACTCTGCTGGTGAGGGTGGGGACAGTGGCACGTTCCTGCTCAGGGAGCAGGGCAGCCAACTAGTTGCAGATGGATTACGATTCAAAACGCACGCGCACGGCCTTGTCGGTGCCAGGAAACCATTCCAGATAGCCACAGGGCACACGGGCAACCTGCTTATAGCAGGACCCTCCCTGAGATGAGCCATCCGGGTGGATCGCGTGTCCCCCGGGCAAGGTCCAGGGCACCTGGAGTTCTTACACCAAATGAAGAGGGTGGATGTGGATTTATGTGGAAAGATCTTCAAGACAAGTTACAGAGGGAAAAAACAAGTTGGTTAGTAGAACATAATTCCACTCTGTAACATACAACGTTGCCATGGGACGGAATCAACAGCAATAGGTGGTGGTTTTTTGTTTTTTTTTTCAGGTTGATGTATACTGTGTACTGTGTCCCCTTTGGGAACTCTGGTGGCATAGTGCCTAAGGCATTTGACTGCTAAGCAGAAGGCTGGCGGTTCAAATCCACTAGCCACTCTTCAGAAGGAAGATTGGGCAATCTACTTCCGTAGTGATACTGTCTCAGAAACCCAAGGAGTGGTCACTATGAGTTGAACTGACCAGATGGCAGTGAGTTTGGTTTGGTTTTGTGTCTCTTTTATGTTTAAGAAAAAAAAGAAAGACCCATAACTACAGCAATTTCTCCAGACACATACACATCACATGATGAATCCAAGGAGATGCCCTCCTGCCAAATGGCACTGGTGTTCCCCAAGGAGGGAGACATTAGGGCCGGCTCAGTGCTTGAATCTTTTATAATGAGGATGTGATGGCCTTACTGTTGTAACTAGAAATAAAAGTCAAAATATGTAAAAGGGAAAATAAAAAAAAAATTCTTTCTGCAGAAACGTGTTATAAAATGCTCCCAGACAGACAAGGAGAGATAAAGCCGTGGCCAGGAAGGAGCAGGGGGTCTAATGCTGGGGAGGCAGAAGTCCCACACCAGGCCCAGGCTTTGAGGAAGGGCGTCCCATTCCCAGGCTGGCCCGTGAGGTCTCTTTCCCTGCCTTGCTCTGTCAGCCCAGGAAAGAAACAGAGATGTCAGATCCAACTGCCCTATTAGTTAAATAGGGAAACTGAGGCCTGAGGGGGACTGTGCAGACACTCCTGCCTCCTCTCCCCTTCTCAAGTCAGCCTCAGCTTTCCCAGCTTTCCCCTGGGACTTTCTCACTTTCTCCAGCCTTGTTGACTTACTGAAGGAGTTTCCAAAGGCCACTTAACCTCTCAAGCCTCGATTTCCTGCCTGGGAAAGGGGAAAGCTGGTATCTTCTAATCGGGTTTGGTGAGAGGAGTAACAGAGATGGTGTATAAGGAAGTACTTTGTTAACTAGATTGTCATGGCCACCTTTCCACTGCCCTCATTTTCCCCTCCCCAGGCAAATCTGGTGAGATTTAAAACAGGGCCCATGAAACAGAACCAGGCCCTACTGCTGTGGGCATCTGCTGGGCATCCCATTCCTGGAATGGGGCTTTTGAAGCCAAGATACCTCCCTGCCTGAGGTCACAGTGCTAGCAACATACAGACTGAGACTCAGAAGGAGTTGGGGTGAAATCCTGTGTGGCCTTGGTTGAATCATTTGCCTTCTGTGAGTCTGCTTACTCATCTATAAATTGGGGTAACAAGATGATGGATTAAATTGTGTTCCTAAAAATATGTATTATAAATTCTAACCTCTATGCCAGGAGCTCTGGTAGCATAGTGCCTAAGGCACTTGATTGCTAACCAGAAGGTTGGCAGTTCAAACCGACCATCCAGCCATTCCTCAGAAGGAAGGTTGGGCAATCTACTTCTGTAGTTATACTGCCTCAGAAACCCAAGGAGGGTTTCCTTGGGTTGCTATGAGTTGGGTCCAACTCGACGGCACATAACAACAACAACAACCTCTATGCCAGTGGTTATCATCCCATTTGGTAGTGCCTCTGGTGGCATAGTGCCTAAGGGATTTGACTGCTAACCAGAAGGCTGGTAGTTCAAACCCAGCCACTCCTTGGAAGGAAGATTGGGCAATCTACTTCCATAGAGATACCGCCACAGAAACCCAATGAGGGGTCGCTATGTTGGATCCAACTCAGTGGCGGTGAGTTTGGTTTTTTTGGTTTTGTTGTCTCTGTTATGTTAATGAGTTGGATTAGAATAGTGTGTGTTTTGAGTCAATCACTTCTGAGATATAAAGGAGATTAAACAAGGAAGCAAGCAAGCACTGCACAAAAAACATTGCTCTACATCCTAATTTGGTGAGTATCGACTAGGGTCTTAAAAGCTTGCAGTCATTCAGATGCAACAATGGGGAGTTCCAGTAAGATGGTGGACTAGGCAGAAAGACTGCACAGACTCTCTTCAACAAAGAAAAGGGGAACCAATTAACACAGATACAGAAGATAATCCTAGAGCCCTGAGCCTTGAAGGGAATGATGTAGAAGTGGACTAAACTCCAACTAGCAGAAGGATTTGCATGAAAACACTAAAAAAGGAGACATACGGAGCTGCGGTCTGGCAGTGATCCTGATGGCACAGACAGCTTAGATATTGCCAAGTGGTGGTAGGACCTAAGAATTAATCTAAAAATCAGCCCTGCTAGCCAGGGACTGCATGGAGGACTGCTCTGGTGGCTGGGGAATAAAAGGGAAAGCAGTGAAGAGGATGGTGGGCTGAGCTGTGGACTTTTGTCTGTCCAGAGGGTGCAGCCATTTTGAATGTCTACAAGCGGCTTGACCATTTTGGATATTTAAAGCGACAGCATTCTCCCAGATTCCAGGGACTTAAGAACAGGTTCCACTTGCCAGTAACACCAAGGATATTCCGGACCCAGACGACTGGAAAGCTTCACTTACTGAGTGGGAGCCACTGCTTCCTTCTCCACCAACAGGCCAATGATAAGCAACCACCAAGAAAAGCCTGACTCACCCTTGGCTGCTCCTCACAAACAGTTAACAGAGATCTAACTACAACAATGCCACAATGTCTCGGAGACAACAGACCATCACAGTCCACACAAAGAAGCAAGATAAAGTGGTAGAAACAAGGAAGCAGGATACAGACCCAGAACACATCCCTGAGGAAGAAGCAGCATTGGAACTCTCAGATAAGGAATTCAAAAGAATTATATTTAGGTATCTTCAAAGGAGTGAGAGACAGATCAAGGAAAACACAGACAAATCCCTAGAAGAATTTTGGAAGAAAATAAAAGAACAAAATGACAAAATAAATGAAAAATTAGAAATTATTCTAAATCTACAGATAGAAATCCAGAAGATTAATACTAAATTATCAGAAATAGATAACACATTCAAAGGGCAAA